TCAACATTGTGCTAATCCTAAAACTGGATAAAGATAATAGAAGAAAAAAGTATGAACACAGATAAAAATTTGTTTAACAAAACAAACTATTAGAAGTCAGATCTGGTAGTTTGTAGAAAGAAGTTTTATTATAGGGATGGAAGTGTTGGTTCAGCATTGGAAGATCCACCCCCAAAGTCATCATTTTAACAGAGGAAAGGAAAAGCCACATGATGCTGTCAGTAGTTGCAGAAAAAGTATTGGACTAATCTTCCACAGCTGTTCATGGTAAAAAGCTATCAGGATACTAGAAGTAGAACAGAACCTTCTCAACACATAAGCCATGTACTCCATACTTTCAGCAAAAACACCTTATATGAATGGAAAAGATACAATGCTTTCTCCCTAAGGTGGGGAACAAGGGCAAATATGCCTACTCATCATCTTTCCATTAAACTTTGAAACATAAGCCCAAACCAAAATAGTCTGGCAATAAAAAGACACAATTAGCATATGGTTGGCAAGGTAGAGGTAAAATCTTTATATGTAGATGAAATGATCATCTACAGAGAAAATACTAAGAAATCTCTATGATCCCCTAGAACTTGTATTTGAATTTAGCAGGATTAGAAAACACAAGGTATATATAAAAATTCAGGTCTATGTATACTTGCTATAAATGAAGAATTGGATATTGAAATTAAAAGTTATGTAGGACTACAAAGGACCTAGAAAAGTAAAAAGAAAAAAAAACAGTGTTGTAAGACATTTAGTACCTAATTTTAAGACTTCCTGTAATGCTACAGTAATCAAGGCAGTGTTGGCGTAAGGAAAAACATATAGATCAATGGAATAAAACAGAGAATCTAGAAATAGAACCGCACATGGTTCACTATATGGTCCACTGAGTTTTGAAAGATTATTTAACATTAACATTTTATAGAACATAAACTCAATTAAAGAGCAGAGGAAAAGATAGTGCTTTCAGCAAATAGTACTAGAACACCTGGCATCCGTATGTAAAAAATTAACCTCAACCCTTTATTTCCATACATAAAAATAACTTGAAAGGATCTATGAACTTAAATATGAAAGACTAAAACTATAAAACTTTAAGAAGAAATTATATGGGAAAATGTTCATGAATTTAGGGTAGGCAAGAATTTCCTAGGCTACAAAAAACGTGATATATAAAAGAAGAATTGATAAATGAGATTCCATCAAAATTTAGAACTTTAAATGACATCATTAAAATGAAAAGTAGTCCTTAAACAGACCTTATTTATAATGCATATAACTTAAGACCAGAATATATAAAGAACACTTACAGCTCATTAACAGATAACCCAATTAAAAAGTAGACTTAAGAAGATGATAAATAGCCAGTACTGATACATATTGACTTATCGTAGTCATGACTTTTTCTTTTTGTTCGATTCTCCCCCTTTGCATTTAATTTCTTGTAGCGCCCAATGGATTAATTCTGTTGGGCTTCCTGTGGTTATGATCCTCATTTTCTTTTCCTAGGATATTGTCTAAAATTTTTTGGAGTGCTGGTTTGGTATTCA